TTCTAGTCGCTCTCTTCTACACCTTTTCCAGTTCTACTATGTCTTTTTCGAGATGCAGTGACCAAAACTATATGCAATACTCCAGGTGCGGCCTTACCAGCGTTTTGTACAATAGTATTATAATGTTGGCTGTTTTATTTCCAGTCTCCTTCTAAATGATACTTAGCATGGAATTGGTCTTCTTCACTGCCACCGCACACTGGGTTGACATTTCCATCGAGCTGTCCACCACCACACCAAGATCTCTTTCCTGATCCATCTTGGACAGCTCAGAATCCATCAGCTGATAAAGTTTTGATTTTTTTGCCCCAATATGCATTACATTTTCTCATATTGAAACACATTTGCCATTTTGCCACCCATTCTCCCAGTTTGGAGAGATCCTTCTGGAGATCCCTTCATAATCCCATCTGGTCTTCACCACCCGGAAAAGTTTGTGTCATCTGGAAACTTGGCCACCTAACTACTTATCCCTGTGTCTGGGTCATTTGTGAACAGGTTGCAAAGCACTGGTCCCAGGACAGATCCCTGGGGCACACTGCTCTTCACCTCTCCCCATTGTGAAAATTGCCCATTGACACCTACTCTCTGTTTCCTGGTTCTCAACCAATTCTCAATCCATAAGAGGACCTGCCCTCTTATCCCCTGACTGTGGAGTTTTCTCAGCAGATATGCAGTTCTTAGTGTCTGGAATCCTCTTGCTTAGCATAACAATTACATTAGAGTAAGCCCATTGAGTCAGTAGGGATTTGATAGTCATCTAAGTTACACTGATTAAAATTAGCCTACTCTAGTTACAGCCTACTATGCTAAAGTTAGTCACAGCTAAAGTAGGTCCATTTGAATTAATGGAACTTGAGAAGTAGTCTTACCAAACCCCCACTGATTCAATGGGCCTACTCTAATGTAACTTACTATGCTAAGCAACAAGATTTCAGCCAGAGTTCAGGAAATACAAAATGTGTGCATGAAACCACAACTCTAACCCTACTACTCCCATCAGCATATTGTAGTTCTGATAACTGAGAACTAACTCAATGCAGATCTCCCCCTCCCAAATGGTAGTACATAAGGCCACTGATTTAAGTTCATGAGGCCATTTGTGCTTGAGACACAGATGTAAACAATTGGTGATTTGAAAATCTATGTTACTATATCTGGCATCACTGAAGAGTATACTGTTGCTGTATCACCTGCCACACTGTTCTGTTGGTTCCACTTAGTCCAACATTCCCCCCAACAACTTTGAGGTAAAACTACAATTTAGTTTGTTTTGCAAACATGTAAAGCAGCCCTGATCACAAGCTGTCAAATGCTGTTAACGTCAAATTTTAATTCCAAACTTTACTCGTATAAAGGACCTACATCAACAGTGCTTGAGGATTTTACTCTATGGCTTTTTTACATGTTCAAAGGCAATTATAGCCAACAAGACTGAGACAGTGTAGAGACATTACTTGACATGTTATCTGTAACTAAAAGGTAAATATACTTTCAGAAGTGCTTTCAGCAATGTAAATATTTGGGCTTGCAAACTTCTTGCAAAGGGACATGAACAGATTGTTACCATAAGGCTCGTTATTTAAAGCTGCATTTTTATTTTACTAAATTATCTATGTTAAAAAACAAATCTGTGCCTGGTGTAGAATTTTACTGCATCAAATGTTACAAGCAGCAGAATGCATGTCATGTAAGAACAAGTGTTAGGAAACATGGAAATAAATTAGCATATAATTTACAAAAGCAAATAAAAATAATAACATTGTAACAGTGTACCACATTAATACTGCGTATAAAATAACAAGCAACTAATCACAATAATAGATTTTTTTTCATTCTGTAGTGTTAAGGAAATTTATGTTATAGCCATACCATTAATATGGATCCCCCTAGCATGAATTGTTTCAAATTGTGTACATTTTGACAGACAGAACTGTAGGGTGTTCTATTTCAGACTGAGAGCTTTACAGTTGGTAGCACTGTCTAGTGGAAATACCAGCAACAAACTGTGAGTTTAATATCTACTACTGATTTCCTAGGCTTTCTATCTCTGTGTGACTTATACATATGGTTCTGTTGCCATTATTTAGGAGTACTGTATAATACTTTTCGATACTTTTAGCTTAGATTAGATAGGCTATATACTAGCAGCAATGTCCTATGTTGTAGGAATTCATTTCTTTAAGCTTTTTTTGGGGTCCAGAGGTCTATTTGAAATCCAAATACTAACTTTTAGGTATGCAAGTGAACATTGCTGCAGGGAGTTTCTTAAATCCTGTGCTCTCCTGTGCTGCAGAGTAAACACTGGATTCCCTGGTCTTCTAGCACCAATGAAAGAGCAAAATGTGTTTGTGGAAACACTCTTTGCAATGTTAATGTTCTAACTGAGGTAAAAGGAGATTTGTTTGAATAAATCCCACCATTCTTGTAGCCTGAAAGACATATTAACTAATAAATATATTGAAATCTTAGAGCAAATCAGATTGTAGTCTTTTGGCTGGAAAATAACCTTGCAATATATATCCCTTTTATTATACTTTTACCTAGTCAAGGCATATTAGCACCAAAATATTTCTAGGAGTAAGTCGTACAGAACTCAACAGGACTTACATCTGAGTAGTCATGCATAGCACTATGCTCTAAACCAGTGGTCCCCAACCTTGGGCCTCCAGATGTTCTCGGAGTACAACTCCCAGAAGCCCTCACCACCACCTCTGCTGGCCAGGATTTCTGGGAGTTGAAGTCCAAGAACATCTGGAGGCCCAAGGCTGGGGACCACTGCTCTAAACCAGTCATTCTCAATGGGGGCCATATGGTCCCCTGGGGAGGCCTGGCAAATCTGAAGGGGGCCACAAATCGAAAAAATTATATTTTATTTTCTGTGCATCTGTTCATGTTGTATCCTTATTTGGCAGAGGCCCTGGCACCTGAAAAGAGCTCCTAAAAGGGCCATGGCCAAAAAAGGTTGAGAATGCTGATGTATAAAGGAAGTTACCGTAACTGACTAACCACACTGTCCTAATGCCTACATTTTACTTCCACATGTGTACAATTTTCTTTTTTGAAGCATTCATTTCAATGAACTATGTACAACTGAATAGTAAATATAGTTCCCAACCTTGGTTAACCCAGTTGTTCTTGGACAGCAGTTCCCAGAATCCTTCATCACCAGTTGTGCTGGCTGAGCTTTCAAGAACACCTGGGTTAACCAAGGTTGGGAACCACTACTTTAAGTAAACAAATTTGCCAGAAATGAATTGCATTGCTCATAGGTAAAACGGAAGTGAGCATTCTGTCAAGAGGTAGAACATGACAGGTGTTTGATATTTATGAATGAAGAATAAACCCCACTGATGGATTGTCAATATTTTATCTGCATAGTACATCTCTCTGTTTTTCCTGTTAATTCACATTAGTAAATACTGTTCAATACATTTGGCTTACTGCAATTTGTTAAATATACTGACACATTTAGATAGTATATATATGTTATAAACACTTGTCTCATTAAGATTTTTTTTAACAAAAGTGCCATTTGACTTCTAGTGTTAATACAAGGTGGTGGTGTTCACATCATCTGAATTGCACTACAACGAAGGAGGCAAGTTGGACACAAAAGCACATTCATCAAGTACCTGCTACAAATTGCAAGTGTTCAAGTACAATGTAATAATATAAACAAGTACCCACTTTCCTTATCTCTTTGTTGTGTCACAGACAAAGCAGGGAATGGGGAAGAAGTATTGCCATTTGTATTAGCTCACACTGGATTTTCAAATCTCTTTTACCCAAGGAGCTTGGCTTCACATTTAATACAATCAAGGGTATTAAAGTGTTAATGCAGTGAATATAAAAACTATGGTACTTTGATTTCAAATTTTGCCATAAATTATGTACTCTTTGGTTGTTTATCCAGTAAAATACTCCAAAAGTGGGCATATCCATATTTTCCCTCTAAAGTAATTATTAATCAATGCCCTCCTATTGTTTGAATGAAAAAAAATCTAAAAACTTAATGTAATGATTCACAGAACAGATTTTACCCTATTACAGTTTTTTCACTGACATTTACAGAGTAACAAAGGTAATTGGACAGTTGAAAAAATTATGTGTCTGTCTAACTGAAGTGAAAAACAGTAGATCTGAATATCTTAACCTTAATTAAACTCAATGTAGTGAAATTGTATGAAATAACTTCACTGTAGTACAATTCTTCCCTTGAATTGATATTTTCCCTTTCAGTGGAAATCCTGATTTAATGGTAAGATGGAGAGGCAGGTATAAGTCTACAACACGTAATTCTTTATTGTCTGATGCAGCCAGGCAATAACTGTTATATCTCTTACCTCTGTATTCCTCATTGTACTAGTTTAGTTTAGCTTTATATATGGCTCACAGCAGTCTTCAGGAAATATGGATTATTCTTTACAAAATTAGATGAAACATGGGGAAATACATTTCTTTCACTTCTGATTTATAATTGTTTCTAAAATAATATTCCCAAGCCCACTTTTAAAATTTAAGCTGTGGTGCTATTTAGTAATATAAAATAGTTATTATTTATACGCTATGACAAGATTTTAAAAATTCTTCTTTACTTCTGTAGTTGATCAAACGATAACAGCTACATTTCAAACAATATTAAATACAAATGGATTCAGTGTCATTTCTAAGTCCATAATAAAAAAAATCATCTTAATGGTCCAAGGAGGTAAACAGACTAGTGGATTTAGTCAAAAGTACACATATGTTCCACCTTAAGTTATGCTGTATGCACCGTGTGTGTTTTTCCATTTTGGCATGCCCTCCTTATTACTGTGTCCAGCACTTTGAATGAATAAATCCCACTTCACAGAAGTTAAAATAATATTGAAATTCTGTCAGCTGGGGCTGACCAGTGGTTACATTTTCCACAGGGTGATGCATTTAAAAGGAAATCTGTCTGGTTGCATTTGCAGCATCTTTGATGGACACAATTCCACAATGCAATAACAAGGCATTTTCAGTTTCTGTGGGTCAATGTCCTTGGCAGGTCTTGCAGCACATCTGTCTGAAGTATGCTCGACTGCAGAATTTGAACTTCAGCACCAGTGGGCAATAAGCCACTTTGTTCACATCCTTGCATTCTATTGGAGGGATAAAAAATAAAAGTGGTAACATAAACTGGAAGACAAAACACAAAACAGAACTAAGTAATAATTTGCTTCTGCATCTGTCCTCTGTATGAACTTCTTATTTGTACATAGTTTAGTTAATATTCACAAAAAAATTAAAATCCAGAAGCTGTACAGAGACTTTCCCTAAGCTAGCTATTTCCATGCACAACCACACTATTCCTTAGGGATCTTATCACCTGAGTTATAAAATATTCTCTTCACACATACGCTCTACGTTGGGCTATCCTTGAGATTGATGCAGAAACTACAAATGGTCCAGAATACGGCCGCCAGACTATTAACTGGGGTGAAAAAAAAATCACATTTTCCCCACCCTGGCAGCCCATCCATTTCCACATTGACTTCAAGGTATTAATGTTTACATATAAAGCCCTAAACAGTTTAGGACCTTGATACCTGACAGAGTGCCTGCTCCCACCTTAGCTCTACTTGTGTCACTCAATCTAGCCAGGTTGGGCGGCTGAGAGGCTTGACCCTGAGAGAGGCCCGGAAGGAGAGAACTAGAAACTGGGCCTTCTCAGCAGTGGCCCCTCCCTCGCCTCTGGAACATCTTGCCCCCTGAGATTCGCCTGGCACCCTAGCCAATAAGAACAAGCTGAAGACTTGGTTCTTTAGGCAGGCTTTCCCCCCTTCCATCACTTAGTTCCTTGTGTTTTCCCATCTTGGACTTTGCTTACTTCTCTTTTTTGTTTGGATATTGTCCGTTTTAATTTTTGTTTTATATTGTTCGGACTATAAGCCGCCCAGAGTAGTTTGAATCTAGATGGGCAGGGTAAAAGCTGAATAAATAAATAAATAATAGATAATAGATAATAAATAATAAGAGAGCACTGGCGTCTGATTGCATGTTTTTAGTTTTAATTGTGATTTTTTAATATATATTATAATGCAGCTGAATCATCTTATCAGGATTTCTGAAGAATAGTGTTCAGAAGGCATATCATTATCTTCTCCCCTTATATTCCAAGGGAAGATCGGTCTTTCTCAATTTCACCTAGCATCCTGAAAGGAGGTTCATGGATAGAAACAATTCAATCAGTGGAACCTTTAAGGTGAGTGATTCCCACCCCCACCCCCACCCCACTGCGGCTCACAGCACTGTTCCAAAATCTGTTCTGAAGAGCTGAGAAACTCCAGAAATAGTCTCATGGAAGTGCCAAAAGCTGTGGTGGAAGGAAAGTGGAAGAAGGCCCATTGGGTTCAGCTGGCAAAATGCTGGCACTTGGCCAGTAGTTCCAGGTTTTCAACGTAATGCCAGAACAATTTTAGTACTGATTTGGAATTTTTGTTGTGGGGGGAAAAGAATCAAAATCCTAGCTCCACAGAAATTATGTTAAGAATAGTCGTACTGGCCAGAGAATTAGTGATCTCAGCTTTTATTTAAATACAGCATAAGCAGAGGAAATTTATTTCTCTAGAAAAAGTCTATGTGGAATTGTGATTAAGAAAAACAGTGCTAAAATCCTACTTTTTACTGATGTTCCTTCTGAGTATTGTTATTTGCTTTAACCTTTCTAAAAATAGCCAATAAAACCAAACTCACCTTCTGTGTTAGAAATGGGAGTACTGTCACATTTACTTTCACACTGTTGCATTGATGGAGGCCGAAGAGTATCTGGACAGTCGTTGGACGCTTGCCCAGTATATGAGAGACATTGCACAGTTCTCAACTGTTGTCCAAGACCACATTGTGCAGAACACTATGTCAGAAAGAGGGTTGAGCAGAAAGCAAGGGATGTCAGACTCTAAATAATAAACTGAACAACAATATGGTAAACAGAGGCAACCAATTCACACAGAGGAACATGCTAAATTGTCTGATAGAATGTCAAGAACACTATTTGGAACTGCTGTGGGATACACTTGTAATTGTCAAATGTAAAATGATATTTCGACACTATACAGTATTCCACTTCTGTGACTGATATATTCATTTCTCTTTTAAATAAAACATCTTTAACTGACACCTTTAGAGTTGCCACTAAATCATTTTAAAAGCACGTTGAGTAATAGTGGAGACAAGCCGCCGTGACAAGGTAGAAGATGACACTGGACAACCTTTGTGTGGTCCAAAGAAGCACAGGAAGAGTCTTTCAGATTTCCGAAAGTCCTTTGTCCTGGAAACATAGTATGCTAACGCCCTTCTAACATCCAGGGAATGGAGCATCTTTTCAACGTCAGACAAAGGATCAGAGAACAAGGCAGGTAACGAAATAGGCTAATTGAGGTGAAAATCTGTAACAACTTTAGGCAGGAACGAAACATCTGGAGACAACATAACTTTGTCCTTATAGAATTGCAGGTAAGGAGGATCAGACCTTAGGGCTGTCAACTCACTTGCTCTTCTAGCAGATGTAACTGCAACTAGAAACAAAGTCTTTAGGGAAAGAAACTTAACATCACAGGAAGCCATAAGCTCAAAGGGATGTTTCATGAGTGATTGTAGAACCAGTGTAAGGGACCATTGTGGTACTGGAGGCCTTGTAGGAGGGCGAATGTTGATCAGTCCTTTTAAGAATGCTTTCAATGTAGGATGAGAAAAGAGACGTGAAGATTCTGAGTCCCTAGGTTGGAAAGAGACTATTGCAGAAATGTACACCTTGAG